CAAGTAACTGAGCAGAGCGCAGTATGATAAACTCATTTACGGAATATATTTATCAGAAATATTAAGATCTCAAATAAAATAATTTTATGTGGAAATTCACTAAACCTAATAAACATTTTTTTGTAAATTTTATTAAAATTCAAAATGAAACTTACATTACCACTCGCATTAACTTTGAATCGCTTAGTCTGAAAAGCAAAAGTAGAATAAAGGGCAAGTTAAAGCATCAAGCAACTAGTTATAAAAATGTATCATGATAACAAATTATTGTGACATGTCGCTAGGATGAATTCATGAGTTTAGTCTGATCATTGAAAAATTTCTAAAGGATTGATATGACTTTAAAACATGGGCTTGAAGTGCTTCCTTGTATCCAGTGTAAATAGCACAACTAAAAAAGGTTTGCAAACATCACTACGTGATCTTAATTTGAACATTAGATAGACCATTGTTATGAGTCATTTTAGTCATAAAATAGCCCTAATGTGAGGATACGTAGATATACAGATAAAACAGCTCAAATACATAAAAGAAAATATAAAAGAAACTTAGTAAAAAGGGTCAAATTTGGTATCAATGAAATGATGCAAAAGTCGAATAGCAAAAAAACTCTAGTGACATCAATGTTTGATTCAAAATTTTATAGTTAATGGCGAATCAAATATCTGAATTCGATCGAATATTTCTTGGGCAAAAAGGTGAGCCATGAATTTTCTTGAGATTAAGTGCGAGATAGATTTAAGATTAATAAGATTAGATTAAGTCTATGAGTTCTGATACTTAAAAATAAATAATCCTCATCCAAATTCGGCTGGGATAAAAAACAATGCTAAAAGACATGCTATCTTAAACAATTCATTAAATAAGGCTAAGCAAAATGCCAAATAATACAAGCCCACCTCATTTGTTGTTGTCATAAAGTCAGCATTCGTGCTTCTGATCGTAGGCCCTCCAAGTTGACCAACCGACCCTTTTGATATTCCAGCGGCAGCCTCACAGCCGACAGATTTCTGTCCAGATCCAACGGCTGACGATAGTATTACTCTATCCACGAAACCAATTCGCCCCGTCTGCCCTCCTTGCTTTCGCTTGGCACCGGATCCAAGTACCGAGGGGCCCGGGGAACCAGTCAATACAGACGGAGGATGACTTGGACTTGAAATACGGCTTTCGCATTCGACCTCGTCACTTGGGCAGACAAGTACAGTCTGCGTGCCTGACAAAACAGATATGACAGGTTGAAATGATGTGATTGGAATCGATGAGGTCTGCTTTAACTGATTTTGTTGATTAAGATCCATTTCTACATCGACAGCAAAATTAGGGTCTATCATCTTCTGATACGCCAGCCGATGTCGACGTCCACGAAGATGTTGCTCCTTAGCGTTTTCGTCATTGAATGGGCAAATACAGAGCTGGCAACGGAAATGTAGAAGTTTTCCGGTCACTGTATCGCGCACCTAATAAATAAAAAAGAGGAGAAATCAGCTATAAACGTCGAAAGTGTCAAAAACATCAAAAAATACACATTTAAACAAATTTGCAGAAATTATTGAATGTTTATCTTGTAAGTACGTAATTGCTAAATAATCTGAATGATCCGGTCAATAAAGCTAAGAGCAATCATGAAGGCAGAGGAGATTAAAAAATAATTGACCATCATTATTTTCATTTTGTGTCATGGCGTTAGCTATAGGAAAAAAGACAACTCTTTACAATGACGAAAAATAGAGTCAAATCGAAGGTATGAAGATCAGGATAGTGTCGCTATTTGCATGCTCGTAGTCTACGTTTGTAGAAAAGAAGTTATTTGACCTTATATTCGTAAGTTGGTCATATTGGCAGGAAGACCCAGAGAAACGCAACTCGAACGGAGTCCATAGTATGCATGATGAATTCTAGAGTCGGACCGTGGACTTGGTACATTTCACGACGTTACGCCAGCATCCTCAGTGAGTCTTGCCAGTCTCAGCAACCAAGCTACAACTCGTCAAAAGACACAAGTGAAGTCTACTCCTTGACCAATTTTCTATCGAGACTCCTCGTTGTGTCCTGGTCCCTCTATCCAGTTCCTACCCTTGTGGAATGTTTATATTCCACAAGTGATGTGTCATTTTGGTGAATTCACTGTGGCGTCATCACACCTGCTGTTTGCCTTGCTCCCCTCCCTATTGAGTGGCTGATCCTGCTCTAATCGCCTGTACGGATCTGTCTCATGGGCCCGAATGTCAATTTCTTATCTTGTGATCAAAGGGGCTAATAATCCACTTCAGATGCAGCAGGCGATCAGAGATAGTTGTCCACAGTTTCCTCAGGGCATACGAACTTAATCGAGATCATATGTAAAAGTAATACTTAATATCCACAAGCATGAAAATCAAAGCCTAGACGCTCTGAAGATAAGGCGAGTTTGTACGTGCTACTTGAGGCTCGAAAAACATCACTTGGAGTAAAAGTACGATGAGACTGGAACCGAATGAAATAGGTCAACTAGAAAAATAAAAAACGGACCTATGGGCCCATAAGACAGACCCGGACAGAAGACTAGAAAAGGATCAGCCATTCGAAAGGGCTAAGAGCAGGGCAAACAGCAGGTGAGATGACGCCACGGTGAATTAGCCAAAAGGGCATATCTCTTGTGAAATATAAACGTTAGAAGTTGTGATAAGATGGGGCGAGACTAGAGGATAGGAAATGGATAGAGGGACCAGGACAGAACGAGGAGTAATAGCAAAACTGTCTCGATAGAAAATTGGTCAACGGATTGACTTCATTTGTTTCTGACGAGTTGTAGCATAGTTGTTGAGACCGGCATGACTCGATGGCGATGCCGACTATGATGCTGGCGAAGCGTCTGGGAATGTACCAGATCCACGATCCGACTCTAGAAATTATCAAGCATACTGTCGACTCCGGACAAGGTGAGTTCCTTTAAGTCTTCCTGCTAATATGACCAAATCGCGAAAACAAGATCAAACAACTTTTAGATAACGAATAAGATATTCTAAAAAATGTTTGAAAAGGCAACAAAAAGCACAGCAGGTAAAAATAAAATATGATAACAAATCGAAAGTATGAAGACCAAGATAGTGTGGACTTTTGCAGTCGCAGTTTCCTTTTGTTGTATAGAGGTTGCTTGACCTTGTTTTCGCAACTTGGTCATATTGGTAGGAAGACTTATTGAGGAATGTATAAAAAGAATGGAAAATACGAAGACCTCAGTGTAGCGAAGGAGGGCGACATGCTGAATGGACATGACCAAATGACGGATGATTAAATGGATATATAGAACAAATGGAAAGGGGTTCAATGCTTAAATAAACTATACATAAAGTATTATTCATAACAAAAAAAAGGAAAAATTGACAAGCACCATAATTCTATGACATAGAACATATGCAATTAGTCTGACTGAATTTTCGATTTAAAATACTCAAAAATCATACATTTTTCCACAATTTATTTAAAAAATTGTCAAGTAATAACATCAAAAAAAACATTCGAGCACTGTGCCAAAGTAGCGAGTTATTTCAAATGCAATCTAGAGACGAGCAGAATGCATATCTAATGAATGTACATTATGTATTTAGTCGTT